GTGAGAGGTGGATGGAGATAAGTGGGGGAGAGGGGCGGGATGCAGGAAGCATTAATCAGCTGTCAGCTAGTGGATCAGAGAATGTGCCCCGTAGGGGTCCTCAACAAACATGTCCCTGAGGGAAAGACGGCAAGCGGTGGCCCCGTGCTGGTATCTGTCACCCTCCCGCACCCCCAGCCTGAGACCTGCTTCCTGGCCGTGTGCGACGGGGACGGGTGTATGCCTTGCTGAGGAGCCCAAGCTCCGAGGGTAGGCTGACACCCACCGAGCCACAACGGTGGGGTGGGGAGAGGGGGGTGTCCTTCCTCCTGCTGGCCAGGAGAAGGCAGGGGTGCCTGGGCAGAGGGGCAGAGGTAGCCCTGATTTCCTTGGAAGGCTGGCTGGGTTTGCAAAGGTTGGAGCCAAGAGCCAGGGTTCACTCACACCTGCTGGGCTGGGTCCACCTGTCAGCGCTGGCCTGACCGACCGTGGTGTTCGTTCCTCCCTCTGGTCCTCGGGACAGGGCTTAGCCTGGTGGCAGAGGGGGAAACCGAGACCAGCCCCAGGTCCCACGGTTGCTCCGCTGAGGTGTCTGCCTCCCATTCCCTGCGGACAATTGAGCGGCCAAAGTAGATTAACCCGGGTGCTAATCCCCTCTAATGGCTTCAGAATCCCCAGGCCGAGCAGCTAAGCCGGCCTTTCTCCGGCCTTTCTCCGAGGCCTCGGCCAGCCTCCCTGGCGGCTTCAGCCCCGTGGCTGGGCGATGCTATCTCGCCCTGCGGGCCTGGCCGCTGGTCTCCGCTAATCTCCAGCGCTGGCTCGCTTTCTTTCCAGTCCCGCTGGAGATCGGGCTGATTGGCGTTTGATTAGGGCCGCTATCGAGGGCCTCTTTGTGAAATAGGTCCTAAATCCCCTAATTCCGTGATAAAGGAGGCATTAGCCGACCGTTTGCTGCAGAGAAAGGCACGGGGATGAAAGAAAGCAATCAGGGGAATCCTGATGGCATCGCCTGCTGCAGGCTGCAGAGGAAGGTGGGAGAGAGGGCCCAAGTAGGGGGTGGGAGAAGAAGGAGGGAGGAGGCCCCAAGAACAGAGGGCATCCCTAGCTCCCCACCTCCATTCCATGTCTGTGCTCCTTCCACAGCCTTGAGCTGCACCCAGGACCCCCTCCCCACCTCCATCCTGGCTGCCATCTCCGCTGGATGCTGAGGGACCACATACACCCCACGCCCCTCTAGCCTCACCCCTGCATTGGCTGGGACCTAACCCCAAACCCACCCCGGACCTTGCTGGGCCTGCCTTTCTGTCCTGGCCTCTGTCCAAAGCCAGTGGTCTCTCAGGACTAACCACATCCATTCCTCCATAGCCCCTCGTGGTTCCCCAGCCCTTCCGAAACCCAGCCCCCCCCTCAGGCCCTGCCCCTCCCCTTTGGCACTGACCCGCTTTGACCAGTCCTGGAAGCAGCTGGGCGTGCTCTTCAGTCTGGGAAGCAGAAGTGACGGCAGCTAGCATTGTCAGTGAGGGTGTGCAGATGGAGGAAGCCTGAGATTTCCAGTGGAAGGCAGGTGGAGTAAGCTGGGAGGGCCCCTCTGGAGGCTGCACTGAGCCCCAGGGTGGTTGAGGGGAGCCAAGCTGGCTGCTCTGTGCGAATCAGAGAAGCTGACTTGGAGCCTGGAGAGAAGAGGCAGAGGCCCAATGGGCAGATGGACAGAGTGCAAGGACTGAGGGGCCACGGGGATGGACAGCTGATCCTCTTATCCTGAGAGTTTGAAGCAGGGAAGCATCATGATTGGATGTGTTTGCAGAGATCACTGCCTCTGTAGCAGGCTCCCTTTGCAGAGGGTGTCAGGAGGGGAAAGTGGCCAGGAGTGGGTTGGATGGCCATGGTGGGGGCACAGGTGGCAGGCCTCTGTGGCTGGCACTGAGAAGGGGGCAGTGCAGAGGTCCAGATGTGGACAGTAGAACCAATGGGGCGTGGGGGTGGGACGCAAGGGAAATACCAAGCACTATTGGAGGGTTGGAGGCTTAAGCAGCGCTGGGGCAGGTGAAGGCTTACCAAGGTGCATGGGTGAGTGGGTGGGCCACTTCCCTGGGTAGACAGGTGTGCGTTTACCAAGGTGACCAGGAGTCTGGGTGTGTGTTTACCCAGGCAGGTTGGTGGAAAGGCGGGCCTTTCACTGAAGGGGAGAAGTAGACACTGGTGGGTGTTGCCTTGGGGGCTTTGTCCAGATCCCGTCGGTGGTCAGTGCATCCATCTGCTTCTCTGAGTGTAGGTAGCTAATGGCACACAGCAGCTCCCATCTTGGAGCGTTGTCCTGGGTGATGGAGCCGCTCACACAGGAACCCTCCAAAGCTGGAGGCAGAGCTCAGACAAGGACAGAGGAGCATGGGGCATAAAAGGTTCTAGCCAGTTTGGCTCAGTGGATAGAGACCCAAGGACCAAAGGGTCCCAGGTTCAATTCCCAGTCAAAGCACACGCCCAGGTTGAGGGCTTGATCCCCATTTGGGGGTGTGCAGGAGGCAGCTGATCAATGATTCTCATCATTGATGTTTCTATCTCTCCCTCTCCCTTTCTCTTTGAAATCAATAAAAATATATTTAAATATTTATATGGAAATTCAAAGAGAACAAGAACAGTAAAACCAATGTTGAAAAATAACAAAGTTGGAGAGCTCACTCTTCCCTGTCTCAAAACTGACTGCAAGGCTACAGTGATCAAGACAGTGTAGTGCTGCCATAAGGGAAGGCATATAGATCAATAATTCAGAATAAAGAAATCCCTCTCATTTATGGTCAATTGATTTTCAATTCATTTATGGAGTGCAAAAACAATACAACAGGGAAAAGAATAATCTTTTTAAAAATATTTTTATTGATTTCAGAGAGGAAGGGAGAAGGAGAGAAAGATAGAAACATCGATGAGAGACACATCAATCAGCTAGCTGCCTGCTGCACACCCACTACTGGGGATCAAGCCTACAACCTGGGCATGTGCCCTGACTGGGAATTGAACCTGGGACCTCTTGGTCCATGGGATGATGCTCAATCCACTGAACTACACCAGCCGGGCTAATCTTTTTTTTTAACTAGAGGCCTGGTGCACCAGCGGGGTCCCTTGGCCTGGCCTGCGGGATCGGGCCAAAACTGGTTCTCTGATATCCTCCCAAGGGGTCCTGGATTGCAAGAGGGCACAGGCCAGGCTAGGGACCCCACTGATGCACGATAGGGGCCAGGAAGGAAGACGGGAGGTTGGCCAGCCAGGGAGGGACTGTGGGAGGGCTCCAGGGCATGTCCATCCCATCTAGCTCAGTCCTGATCGGTGGACCGCAGTAGCAAGCTCACCTACAGGTCGGAGCATCTTCCCTCTGGTGGTCAATGTACGTCATAGCAACTGAGCAAGTGGTCGACTGTCTGCCCCCTGGTGGTCAGTGCACATCATAGCAAGCGGTTGAGCGGCCTTAGAATATCATTAGCATATTATTCTTTGATTGGATGAACGTCCAACTGGACAACCGGACACTTAGCATACTAGGCTTTTATTATATAGGAATATATTTTATTGATTTTACAGAGAGGAGGGGAGAGGGATAGAGAGTTAGAAACATTGATAAGAGAGAAACATTGATCAGCTGTCTCCTGCACGCCCCCTATTGGGGATTGAGCCCACAACCAAGGTACATGCCCTTGACCAGCATCGAACCCAGGACCCTTCAGTTCGAGGGCTGACGCTCTATCCACTGAGCCAAACCAGTTAGGGCAATAATAATCTTTTTTTTTTTAATCCTTATTGCCCTGGCCAGTTTGGCTCAGTGAATAGAGCGTCAGCCCTATCCAGATTTCTCTGGATTTTGGAGGCAGCATGTTCTGAATTTAGGAATACTGCCCCAGTCATTTGTTGCATGAGACAGAGCATGCCTGCTCTGAGTAGAGCCCAGAGCAGAAAAGTTGCCTGCAGGAGGCCCAGGCTTTTGCACAAGCAGCCCTATGACCTGGCAGAACCCCTGGCGAATGCTACAGCAGAGAAAGGTGTCACGTGGGGTCTTGGGGTGATTTTTGGTGGGAGAGTTACAGTGTAAGCTCCTAGGGTTCTGGAGCGAGGCTGTACCACACGCCATTCACAAACCTTGTATGTTACTGGCCCCTGGCAGAAACTGAGAATCTGACCTTGGGCTACCAAGTGACCATGTGACCAAAATGGCTCATTAGAGCAGGAGACTGTCCGAACCACCAAAGCTTGAGGTACTGTCACACAGTGGAAAGAGTCACTGCCAGGATCCACTCCCAGCAAACCCAGACACAAGCAAGCTGCCTGAGCACGTGACTGACACACCCATGTGGCCTTTGCTGACACCTCGGGTGGCCCTGAACAGTAGCGATGAGGGGAAAGTCCCCAAAGGGCAGGGCTTCCATGGAGCAGCACATCATCCACATGGTGTGGAGGGGACAGTGTTGAGGAAAAGAAGACAGGGACCTGGGGACCACAGTGAGCCACCAGGTCCCTCAAACAGCTGCGTCGATTGGTTCTGAGGCCTGGACATCCAGGCCAGAATTTCGGAGACAAGGAAGTAGAGGGAAGAGGCACGTAGAGAACTGGAGTGACATGGTGCTGGATTTCCAATTCCTGGAAAACATGGGTCTGGACCTGGGGGTGGAGATGGGGAGCCCCATTCTCCAGTATTCACAGGGACCCAGCCGGGGACCTATGTTCACATCCTTGTGACTTTAGGTTCTGGGTCTTGGAGGGACTCCTTTCCCCAGGAACACAGCAAAAGTGGCACAAAACAGAAACCGTGGCCCTAACCAGTTTGGTTCAGTGGATAGAGCATCAGCCTGCGGACTGAAGGGTCCCAGGTTCAATTCTGGTCAAGGGCATGTACCTTGGTTGCGGGCACATCCCCAGTAGGGGGTGTGCAGGAGGCAGCTGATCGATGTTTCTCTCTCATTGATGTTTCTAACTCTCTCCTTCTCCCTTCCTCTCTGTAAAAAATCAATAAAATATATATATATATATAAAAAAAAACAGAAACCATGATAGCTGCTGGGCCACTCAGCTCTCGTGACAGCAGTGGGGTCCCCGCACTGGCAGGGGTACCAAGCTCAGATCCTGGGAGCACGATGTTAGATCTCCCCGTCCACGTCCACTGGATGACCTCGAAGATGAGAATCTGGATCGACTCATCAGGTGAGCCACCTACACCTTCAGAGGCACCACTCCTGGGAGAAGGGGAGCCTGGTACAGCCTTACAACCAACTCAAGCATCAGAGGCCGAAGCCTATCCATCACCCTTCCTCTCCTACCTCTGCCCAGAAATTGTGCCCAACCAGAATCCTGGGGAGCCTGAATGCAGCGGACCTACTTTGAGAAGCAGCGGGCTAGGCACAGTAGGGCTGGGGTAAGTGCCCCCTGCCCCACCCAGGACCCCTCCACCCCCAAGATGTGAGCTGGTGACTCACTGGAGCATCGGCCAGATGGGAGGCACCCTGGCAGGGGAAGCTGTGCACCCCGAATCTCAGTCAAGGTGACCCCAGACACCCCAAGCTGGAGTGGAGCTGGCCTCCCTCTCACCATCTTCCTCTCTCCTCTTCCGTGTCCCTTGGGTGCTCCCTCACCCTAAACAACTCACTTTGGTCCTCCTCCGCCCCAGCCAATGATCTGTTCTCTGTCACTCTGATGTTGCCTTTTCCAAAGTGTCACATAAATAGAATCACAAGGATGCAGCCTTTTGGGACTGGCTTTCACTCAGCACCATGTCTCTGAGGTCCATTGTGTTGTGTATCACTGTCACTCTGGGTTCCTCCCTGGCATGGTGGGCCTCAGTGCATGCATCCACTCCCCAGCTGGTGGGCTTTGGCGATGATGAATAAAGTTGCTCTAAACACTCGTCGGCAGTGTCTGTATGAACGGAAGTTTTCACTTCTCTGGGGTGAATCCCCAGGAACAGAACTGCTGGTTCGTGCAGCTGGCTGTGTTTAACGCAGTAGGCTGGCTTCTTTGTCTTTAGCATTTCCCTCTGCAGCTCAGTTCTCTCCTCTCCATTCATTGAGGGTAACTAGAAGCCAGGCAGCTCCTTCAACATCCCGCTGGGCAGCTCCTTAGCTAGACCCTCTCATTAGGTACATTGTCTATTCCCTGCGTCCTGCTCGACTGCAGGTCACAATGTTGCTAAATGCTTGCCGCTCTGACCAGGGTCTCCTTCCCTCCATGTTCCCATAGCATTTTCCTCACTTGCCTCAATGACACACTGTCAGTCTCAACAGTTCTTCCCACTCACTGCCCAGCCCCCAAACCAATGGCATGGGAGTTAGGGCTTGTATAGGCTCCCCTGACCCAGGAGAGAAGGCCGGGAACTGGGGACACAGCTCCAGCCCCCACCCCTATTTCCTCTAGGAGGCTAAGACTGGGCTCCGAAGCGGGTGGGAAGTTTGGGGCCCGAGTTTGGTTGGGATCCTGGCTTTGCCCCTTTGAGGTTGGGGCCCAGTAGTGAAGGCGCTAGGAGGCTGCGCAGTTTGAGTGAGTTTCTTCTGACCCGTTTATCCGCCTCGATAGGGTCCTGATGCGGACCAGGAGCAGCCCCGGGCTCCTGGGCTACAGGAGGGGGGGGGCCCAGCGTCTGGCCCCGAGGCGCCACTGCGCTTCGAGGGCTGCCAGGGTGAGGGCGTCCTCGGGGAGCTACCCTAGCAGCAGGCGAGGCGGCCAGGCCCCGCGGGCGGTGGGAGGCTCCCCGCGCTTCCTGGG